GCAGCAGCAGCAGCAGCAGCAGCAGCCCCGCTGGAGTCTGCTGCTGCTTTGATAGTGCGTCGGCTGCTGCGCTGCTACGCGCACATATATCTGTGGCACTTGCTGCTGCTGCAGCAGCAGGGGGCCCTCCCCCACGCCAACCGCTGCCTCAAAAAACTCCTTTTTGCTGCTAAAGACACTTTCTTAGGGGGCCCCCAACAGGGGGGCCCCCCAAAAGGGGGCCCCCCAAGAAGTGGGGCCCCCTCGTGGGGCCCCCCATCTCCACGGGGGCCCCCGGGGGGAACCCAGGAGGGCCCCCAAGGGGGCCCCACAGGTGAGCAGGGTCCCCCGGGGGGCCCCCAGGGGGGCCCCCTGGGGGGCCCCCAACGGGGGCCCACGGGGGGCCCCCTCATGGGGCCCCTGAGGGTACTGGAAGATGCTTGGTTGAAGTGTGGGGTTGAAGAAGGCCCTTCAGGTGTATGTACACCCGAAGAAGGGGAAGATGGAGGAGAAAAAGAAATTAAAAAAGAAGAAGAAATAAAAGAAAAGGAGGAAAGAGAAGAGGAGTTAAATGGAGAAGAAGTAAATGAAAAAGAAACAAACAAAAAAGAAATAAATAAAAAACAAATAAATGAAAAAGGAATAAATGAAAAAGAATTCAATGAAGAGCTGCTGCTGCCGGCGCTGCGAAAAGCAGAACTTTGTTTGGGACTTCTGGAAAAAGAAGAATTCCCCTTTTTTGGAATTGCGAATTTTTGAATTAAAATAAACTCAAAACTAATTGATTAATTAATTAATTCATTAAATTAAATAAATACATTAAATAAATAAATTAAATAAATAAATTTAATTCAAAAAGAAAAAGACACAAAGAGTCAAAAGACTGCAGCTAATCCGCTGACACCCGGAAACTTGAAATCTAATTTTATTGATTTATTATTTATCATTTATTTATTTACTATTTATTTAATTATTTGCTTTTATTTATTTATTTATTTATTCTTATTTACTTATTTACTTTATTTATTTATCATTACTTATATATTTCTTTGTATTCACTGAGACTCAAAGATATGCAGCAGCAGCAGCGAATGCCTAGCAGCAGCAGCAGCAGTGTCTCCTAGCAGCAGCAGCAGCAGGTGTCTCCTAGCAGCAGCAGCAGCAGCATTGCGAGGTCTGCAGCAGCAGCAGCAACTGCGAGGTCTGCAGCAGCAGCAGCAGTAACACTAGTACAATTATACAAACAACAAAAGCAGTATAGACAATGACGATACATTAAAAACAAAATAATACTAATTTAAAATTAAATAGTAATAAATAATAGAGCTAAAATAGTAAAGAGTTAGTTTTGGTGTTGGTAAAAAATAGACAGAAGTTCGAAAAAGCAAAAAAGCAAAAGAGACTTTTCTTTTGTCTCCGCAGCAGCCCTTCTCTTTTTTTAAATTTGGTCTCTTTTCCTTTTCCCTTTCTCCTTTACTCTTTTGCTGCAGCAGCAGCAGCAGCAGCAGCAGCTGCTGCTGCTGGCCCCACAGACAAACAACGCAGAGGCTAGCCGACTAGCTAGCTAGCTAGCTAACCAGCAAGCCAATTATCTATACAGCTAGTCGGTAGGCTAGCCAGCCATCCAGTTAGCTAGCCAGCTAGCTAGCCAGCCCACAGCCAACGAGCCAGCTAGCTAGCTAGCCAGGAAGGCAGCTAGCTGGATAGCCAGCTAGCTAGCTACTAACGGCCAGGGAGATCCCCCCAGCTCGCCAAAAATCCCAGCTAGCCAGCTAGCTAGCTAGCCACGAGCAAGCTAGCTACGTAGCTAGCTAGCTAGCTAGCTAGCTAGCGTAGCCTCGAGCCAACCGGATAAAACCCATTACTTGTTTTCTCCTTTTTATTTGTTTTGCCACTTGGATAATTTTAACTGCCGCAAACAAAACTCCACCTGTGCCTCTTTTCAATCAACTTAATCAACTAAATCAATTTAAATGGAATTAATTCAATTTAAATTGAAGTAAATCAATTTAAATCGAATTAAATCAATTTAAATCGATTTAAATTGAACTAAATGGAGCTAAATCCATTTAAATCAATTTAAATGGATTTAAATGGAATTAAATCCATTTAAATCGATTTCAATGGATTTAAATGGAATTAAATCCATTTAAACCGATTTCAACGGATATAAATGGAATTAAATCCATTTAATCCGACTTAAATGGATATAAATGGAACTAAATCCATTTAAATCCACCTAGACTGATCTAAATGGAACCAAATCGATTAATGAATCAAAAGTCCTTCACTCCTCCTGCGCGTTCTCCTCGACCTCGTCCTCAGGCACCCCCGCCTGCACGCGGCCCATGCCCTCGTCCTCTTCTTCCTCTTCTTCTTCTTCTTCTTCTTCCGACTCCGAAACTTCCAACAAAAGCTCCTCCAGTCTCCGGTCTTCTTCGGACCCCAACACCATTATCTAAGTGCGCAAGTTCGGCACAAAAAAATGCAAAAAAAACTATTCTTTTGAGCCCTTTTCCGCTAAAATCGACATAAAACAACGTGTACATGCATGCATGCATGCATGCATGCATGCATGCACGCTCGCATGCATGCATGCAGTTGCATGCATGCACTTGCATGCATGCATGCAGTTGCGTGCATGCACTTGCATGCATGCATGCAGTTGCATGCATGCATGTGGGGAAAGCCCCGGAAGCTGGAACTGACTTCTCCTTGTTGTTTGAAGTCTCCGCCTCTGTAGCTTTTGATGGTTTGACTAATGCGGCTAATTGCCTGCATGCAAATATAAAATAAAACAAGATCAATAAAATAAATAAATAAACTAAATATATAAAAGAAATAAAAGAAAACAAAAGGTTCAGCATGAGGCCTGTGAAACGCATGCAAGCCCGGCTGTACGTACTGTACGTACTGTACGTACACCCGGGAACAGATACATGCGAACGGAGAAAAACAAAAATCAAAAGATCAAAAAAAAAGAGAAGCAAATAAAAGGGAAATAAATCGAAGAGAAGCAAATAAAAGGAAAACAAATAAAAGGGGAAAACAAAAGAGAAAAAGACCAAAATAAAAGCACTTGAAGATAGAAAAGAGATGAAAGGGACCTGTTGGATCTTCTGCATTCCGGATTCCTTGTCGAAAGAAGAAGTGACAACAACATATTGTGGAGGAGCAATAAGTTTGACAGCAATGTCTTGCGTTTGGGGTGTATCGACAGCTCGTTCGGGTGTCTCGGCAGCTTTTTCCGGTGTCTCGGCAGCTTTTTCGGGTGTCTCGGCAGCTTTTTCGGGTGTCTCGGCAGCTTTTTCCTTCGCCGCCAACAGCGCTTTTTTCACGGCGTCAATTCCGTCTTTTCCGAAGCACCAAACGTCAATTCGAGCTCTAAAAACGAACAAATAAACCATTTTAAATCATTTAAATCATTTTAAATCCATTTAAATCACTTTAAATGCTTTTAAATGGTTTTAATGCACAAGATGAAGGGTTCATCTCTTTAAAACTCCAAAACGAAGAGAAAACGAGAAAGGAGTTCAGGGAGATGTGAGACTTTGAATAAAAGCTAAAAAGAAAATAAAAAGAAATAAAAAAGAAAATAAAAAGGAGATATAAAGGAGACAAAGAAGAGACAAAAAGAGGGAGAAAAGAGAGACGCAAAAGGGGACTGAAAAGAAATTGAAAAAGCCAAAAAGGAGACAAAAAAGGTAAATGGAAAAGGACAAAAAGAGGACAAAAAGAGGAGACAAAAGAGACAAAAATAAAACCAACAAGGGCATTAAAAAGGCACCAAAAAAACCAAACAAGCAGACAAAAGGGGAAAAATGGAGACAAAAATGCGTCAAGGAGGAGACAAAGAAGAGACAAAAAGGGCAAAAAAGAGACAAAAAAGGAGACAAAAGAAATAGACAAGAGGAGACAAAAGAGGAATAAAAAGGAGACAAAATGGGACAAAAGAGAGCCAACAAACGGAAACAAAGGGGACAAACAAAAGAGAAAAAAGTGCCAAAAAAGCGCCGAAAAGCGGGGAAAAAGAAACAGACAAAAGGAGGCAAAAAGGGACAAACAAAGCGACAAAAAGCGCCACCAAAAGGGGCACCAAAAGCGCCCAAAAGGAGGCAAAAAAGGGCCAAGAAAGACCGAAAAAGGGCCGAAAAAGGCCAAAAAAGGGCCAAAAAAGAAGAAAAAGAACCTGAGTTTGAGGGCCTGAGGGGCGAGGCGCAGCTGGATGTCCTGGATAAGAGACTTTTTGACTTCTTCGGAAACGTCCAAACCCCCGAAGACTTCTTCGGGGTCCAGCGCTGCAGCCTGCGTCGCGGGAGACAAAAAGGCAAAAAGGCGCCAGTTGTGAGCCCGAAAAAGAGAAAAGACGCCGAAGGGGACACGAAGGAACTCCGGATTGTTTGAAATCAGGTTTGGTGGAATTAAGATCAAAAAAGGCAGAAAAAGGGAGTTAAAACGGAGAAAAAAGGAGAAGATTGGGGTCAAAATGCGAAAAAAGAGAAAAAATGGCCCAAATGGCGCAAAAAAGAGCCAAAAGAGAAGCAGAAACGGAAACAAAAGGGAAACAAAGGGGAAGCAGGAAGGAGACGGAAAGGGAGACGAAAAGGAGACAAACGGGGGAGTTGTTGGGGCTTTTAAGGACGCAATTTGGGTCGAAAAGGGACAAAAAGTCCCTCCAGTTCGCCAAAAAGCGCCAGACAAACCCCCCAGTTTGCCCCCCCTTTAACGCAGCGCCGCGCCGGCCGCCGCGGCCGCGGGGCCGCGAGCTGGCCCGCGGACTGCAACACGAGGGGGGCTGGCGAGGAGCGGAAGGTCTTTTTGGAGGCCAAATGGACCATTTTAAAGGCCAAATGGACCTTTTTGAAGGCCGAATTCGAACTCCCCTTCGAAAACGGCACTGCGAAATGCCCCTGGCGCTTTCCAGCGCCCCCCAAAACCCCCAAAACCCTCGTACACCAGCAGCAGCAGCGGGGGGAGTCTGGCAGCTGCAGCAGCGGCGCGAGCAGCAGCAGCAGCGCAGCAGCAGCGCAGCAGCAGCGCAGCAGCAGCGCAGCAGCAGCGCAGCAGCAGGGGCTCGCCTTGAGGGCGTCGAGGGCGTGTCCGTATTTCTTGTAGAGCGGCCAGATGACTTTGGCGTTCAACTCATCAACTCCCAAGTTGTGCTTCAGCGCGACGTGGCGCACCGTCTGGTGAACCTTCTTGCCCTTCGAGTACCTCTCCTCGCACTTCACAATGTCTTCCGGCGACACCCTGCAGCAGCAGCAGCAGCAGCAGCAGCAGCAGCAGCAGCATGCCCCCCGCGCCGCGCTGCTCCGAGCAGCACCGCCCCCGCCCGCCCCCGCGCAGCAGCAGCGCAGCAGCAGCAGCAGCAGCGGCGCGCCTGCTCTTGCTGAGGTCGATGTAGCCCTTGACGGCGTCGACGCGCAGCACCATCACGGCCTCGAGGCGGCCCACCTTGACCAGCTTCGTGACGCTGCGGAAGCGCCGCTTGCTGAGCTCGCTGAGGAGAATCATGCCTTCGACGTTGTTGTACTCGAGGAGCGACACGTAGGCGCCCATTTCGGCGATGCGCTGGACCTTCACCATCACGAGTTCTTCGGCTTCGGGGAACTTGCGTTCGTAGAAGCGCAGGTCGCCGAGGGCGCTGCTGCGCGGCTGCGGCTGCAGCTGCTGCTGCTGCTGCTGCTGCGCCGCGGCGGCCATTGCGGCGCGGGGGGGGCGCGGCTGCTGCTGCTGGGCTGTTCACGCTGGTGCGGGGGGCGGGCGGCGGCGGGGCGGCGCCTGCTGCTGCTGCTGCTGCAGCGGGCTCGAGTTCGAAGGAAAGAATGCTGCTGCTGCTTCGGAACGTGCCCCGCTGCCGCTGCCGCTGCTGCTGCTGCTGCTGCTGCGGCCGTCGGTTCGCCGCCGCCAGCGCCGCCGCCCAGGAGCGCCCGGAAGCAGCAACTTGGAGCTCTTTTTGTTGCTTTATTTGCTTTTGCTTTTGCGTTTGCGATTGTTTCCACGCTTTTTGCTTCGACGAACAGCCGCAAAAACGCGCAAATGCAAACTCCACTGCCCACCCGCCACCCCGCAGCCAAAGGGCTGCACCAGCAGCCGCCACGCTGCATGCGCAGCACCTGCTGCAGCAGCGCCACCCGCTGCAGCAGCAGCAGCAGCAGTTGCAGTCTGCTGAGAATCGTGGTTTGCGCCTTCAAGTTTTCAAACCTCACAGCAGAAAACCCTCAAGTGCATGCGCTGAAGACCACACCCTACACCCCAAACCCCAAACCCTACTTGCCCCAAACCCTACACACCAAACCCTAAACCCCAACACCTCTATCCGACACTCCTGGCGCCAAGAGGCCCCATAACGTAGGGTTTGGGGTTTTGACTTTAGGCTTTTGACTTTAGGCTCTTGAGTTTAGGCTCTTGACTTTAGGCTCTTGACTTTAGGCTTTTGACTTTAGGCTTTTGACTTTAGGGTTTAGGGTTTAGGGTGTGAGGTTAGGGTTTACGGTCTAGTCTACACCGAGGGGAGACGGAGAGTCTTTTTTGGAGTCTTCTTTTCTTCCTAGGAGCCACACACGCCTCGTGCTGCTGCTGCTGTTGCTGCTGCTGTCGCTGCTGCTGCTGTCGCTGCTGCTGCTGTTGCTGCTGCTGCTGTTGCTGCTGCTGCTGTTGCTGCTGCTGCTCCTGCTGTTGCTGCTGCTGCTGTTGCTGCTGCTGCTGCTGCTGCTGCTGCTGTTGCTGCTGCTGCTGTTGCTGCTGATGCTGCTGCTGTTGCTGCTGCTGCTACCACGTGGGGTTGAACTCATGCGCGCGCAGCAGCATTCCTCCCGGAGAGCAGCTGCCTGCAGCAACTAAAACAGCTAGCTAACTAGGTAGCTAGCTAGCAGCTAGCTAGCTAGCTAATCAATCGGCTAGCTGGCCAGCCAGCTAGCTCCCGAGCCAGTTGAAATTGTGCAGCTACCTCTCCAGCTGGCTAGCTATCCACCTACTTTGTAGCTAGCTAGCTAGCCAGCTCCTTGGCCAGCTAGCCAGCTAGCTCATGGCTAGCCAAATACCTTTTGGCTAGCTAGGCAACTCAATGGCCAGCTAGCGAGCCAACTATATGGCGAGCCGGTTAGCTAGCTAGCTAGCTAGCTAGCTAGCCAGCTAGCTACTTGCTTCCTGGCCAGCTAGCAGCTACTTGCTTCCTAGCTAGTTAGCTAGCTAGCTAGCTAGCTAGCTAGCTAGCTAGCTAACTAGCTACAGCGACTCTGTCCCGCTGCTCCGGGGTTCTGTGGAATTTGGCGTTGCAGCAGCAAAACCTGCTGCTGCTGCTGCTGCTGTTGCAGCAGCGGCTGAGCAGCAGCAAAACCCCACACTCTCGCCTGTGGGGCCCCAGGTGTACGTACACCCGAGCTCCATTGCAATCCACTCTCGACTTTCTATCCTTTTAATTAATTAAATAACTAGATATTTATTTCTTCATTTTTTTATTTTTTTATTTGGTTATTTATTTATAATTTTAATTTTATTTCAGCAGTTTTTTCTTTCTGCTGTTTTTGCTGCCGAAGAAAACAGCAGCGCCAGCAGCTGCTGCAGCAAAAGTTGGTGCAGCTGCTGTCGCTGCTGCAGCAAAAGTTGCTGTTGCTGCCCCTGCTGGAATAGCAGTTGCTGCTATTGCCGCTAAAGCAGCAAAACTTGCTGCTGCTGCTGCCGTTGCAGCAGCAGTTGATTCTACTGCCGCTGCTGCTGCTGCTGCTGCGCTTGCTGCATTTGCTGCTGCTGCTGCTGCTGCATCAGTTGCTGCTGCTTGTTACGACTCTTCTTCTGAGTCCTCCTGTCTCTTCACAGGCTGTTTCCTTTTTGTCTTTTTTCGATTTCTCCTCTTCATCTGCTGCTGCTGCTGCTGCATCAGTTGCTGCTGCTGCATCACTTGCAGCTGCTGCTTCTGCTGCGCCAGTTTTTGCTGCTGCTTCGGCTGCATCACTTGCTGCTGCTTCTGCTGCACCAGGTGCTGCTGCTGCTGCATCTGCAACAGCAGCAGGAGCTGCTGCTGCTCTCTCTGCTGCTGCAGCTCCCCCCGGAGTTCTGTTTTTGTCAACTCTATAAATCCATCTTTGGTATAGATATATAATAAATATTATATCTGAAACAAACAGCAGCAGCAGCAGCAGCAGCAACAGCAGCAACAGCAGCAACAGCAGCAGCAGCAGCAGCAAAGGCAAACAAAGTTTGGCTGCTGCAGCTGCTAGGAAAGAGAAGCACTTTTCAAATTAAAACAATTAAATTAAATGAAGTTAATATGAAATTAATTTTAAAAAATAATTTTAAAAAAAGAAATTAATTATTTAAAATGAAGTTGTGCATGCAAAGCAAAGCAAAGAGCTGTTGGAGAAGCAGCAAATGAGAAAGACAAAACGAGAAAATGGAAAAAAACAAAAAACAAAAAGTTTTAAAATATATTTAAAAAAAAGAATTGGGCAAACGAATCTATTATTCTTCCAAGGTAAAAGAAAGAAAAAACAGCAAAAGCCACTCTCTTACCGCAGCAGCACGAGCGCCGCTGCTGCAGCTGTTGCTGCTGCTGCTGCTGCAGCTGCTGCTGCAACAGCCGCTGCAGCAGCAGCTGCTGCTGCTTCTGCAGCCGTAGCAACAGCACCAGCAGCACATCAGCAGCAGCTGCTGCAGCAGCTGCTGCAGCAGCTGCTGCAGCAGCTGCTGCAGCAGCAGCTGCGGCAGCCGCCCCTGCAACAGCAGCAGCAGCAGCAGCAGCAGCAGCAGCTGCTGCTGCTGCTGCTGCTGAAGTGTCTGAATTAGAAGGAGACACTCACCGTCTCTGAAGCAAGAAAGGCGATGCATCCAGGGCATGTCAATTAGGAGAGACGCGACGTCATCCACAAAAGTGTTCAGAGACCTGAAAACCCCAAACCCTAAACCCTAAACCCTAAACCCTAAACCCTACCTAAGTCGCTAAGTGGCCAGCAGCAAGGTGTGAAGTGAAAGTGACAGGCGAAATGCATGAGCATTAAAGCACATCAAACCCTAAACCCTAGACCCTAAACCCTAAACCCTAAACCCTAAACACTAGTAAATGCATCCGAAAATCGAAAATAAATAAATCATAAATTAGAAAAATACATCGAAAAATAAAAGGAAATAAATCAAAAATTAAAAGGTGTGAATTAAATGTCACAAAGGGAGAAAGAAGGAAGGCAAAATAAATGAAAAAGGAGACAAGAAGAGATACAAAAAGAGACAAAAAAGGCAAAAAGAGACAAAAAAGCAAAAGCAAAAAGACAAAAAAATGCCAAAAAAGGATCGAATAAAAGTCTGATGAAAGAAGACAAAAAAGCTCCAAAAGAAGACAGAACAAGCTTTAAAGTGATTCAAAAAAGGTTTGAAAAGACATAAAGAAGATCCAAAAAGGTCCAAAAGGATCCAAAAAAGGGTCCAAAAAGAGCCAGAAAAGGGCAAAAAGAGACCAAATAAATTCCCAAATGGAATTCAAATAAAAGTTCGACAAAAGAAAACAAAACGAGCTTCAAAAAGAGACAGAAAGAGCTTCAAAAAGGTCCAAAACAGGCCCAAAAAGACCCAAAAAAGGTCCAAAAAGAGGCAAGAAACGTTCAAAAAGGGACAAAAAAGGTGCAAAAGGAGCCAAAAAAGCCAAACAAGCAACAAAATAAAAACCAAATAAACTTTTAACAAAAGGAGACAAACGGAGCTCCAAAAAGATACAAAAAAGCTCCAAAAAGGTCCAAAAAAAGTCCAAAAAGATCCAGAAAAAAGTCCAAGAAAGACAAAAAAGTCACCTGTAGATGAGGGCTCGCCAGGGCAGATGATCGACGGACTTCAATTTGTAGTTTATGTACAGCTGAGGAGTCATCAGGACAAATCCTGAAAAAAGAAAAACAATTTTATTTATTTTACTTATTTGACTCGTTTTGACTTTATTTGATCTTTTTTGATTTAACTCGATTGATTTAATCGTTTATTTTGATTTATTTTGATTTAATTTGATTATTTTGGCTTAATTTGATTTATTTTGAATTAATTTGATCCAATTTGATAATTAATTTGACTAACTTTTGATTTGATTTAATTAATTTAACTTTCTAATTTGATTTAATTTGATTCAATTTGATTTGATTGAATTTAATTTAATTCTTTAATTTAATTTAATTAGTTTGATTTAATTTAATTTAATTAGTTTGATTTAATTTGATTTAATTTCGATAAATTGTTATTAAAAAACAAATTATTTTCTTAAAGTTAAATTGCACTTCCATCAAATGGTCTCTTCATCAAATTAAATTATATTTTAAAATTATGTTATCCATTTAAATTAAATGAAATTATTAATTCAATATGAATCAAATTATTAATCTAAATTAAATTATTTATTTAAATAGTATATTTTCAAATTAAATTATCTATTTAAATTAAACCAAATTATTTATTATTACCCATTTAAATTAAAATAAATTATATTATTTATATTAAATTGATTTATTTATTTAAATTAAAATCTTAATCTGAATTAAATTGAATTATTTATTTAAATTAAATTGTTCATTTAAATTAAATCGAATTATCTATTTAAATTAACTTATTTATTCAAATTAATTTATTCATTTAAATTAAACTGAATTATTTATTTAAATTAGATCAACCGCTTAAGTTAAATTAAATTATTTATTTTAAAAATAAATAATCAATTTTACCGAAAGCATAAACAGATCCAGCGAGAACAGAAATGCAAAAAGAAAACCAAGATTTATATTTTTTGTTTATTAACGCGTAAATGGCATATCCAATTAGCTGCAGCACAAACGCATGCAGCAGCAAATCTTTTCTTTTTTGTCTACTTTTTGTCTTTTTTGTCTCACCAGCAGCAGCAGCAGCAGTAATACAGCAGCAGCGGCAATAATGCGGCAGCAGCGGCGGAAATAATGCAGCAGAAGCAACAATCATAATGCAGCAGCAGCAGCAGCAACAATGCAGCAGCAACAGCAACAGCAGCAACAACACTACAGCAGCAGCAGCATCAACGCAGCAGCAGCACCAGTAACACCAATGCAGCAGCACAAGCAGCAGCAACACCAGCAACAGCAGCAGCAGCAACACCAGCAACAGCAGCAGCAGCAACACCAGCAACAGCAGCAGCAGCAACACCAATAAAGCAGCAGCAGCAGCAACACCAATGCAGCAGCACAAGCAGCTGCAACACCAATGCAGCAGCAGCAGCAGCAGCAGCAGGAGTCTGACGCAGGGGGCGAGTGCAATGGAGGCGTAAGTGACAGCAGTTTTGTCGTATTCTCTGGTGTCGGATTTGTCGTAACTTTTTGCAAAATGAAATTTCAAAAAAGGAAACTTCGAAACTCTTTCCAATTTAACTGCTTTCGTCAACTTCCACCCAGACAATGCTGCAGCAGCAGCAGCAGCAGCGGTAATGATAATAAGAGCGCAGCAGCAGCAGCAGCGGTAATGGTAAGAATAGTGCAGCAGCAGCAGCAGCAGCAGCAGCGGTAATAAGTGCGCAGCAGCAGCAGCAGCGGTAATGATAATAAGAGCGCAGCAGCAGCAGCAGCAGCGGCAATGGTAATAATAGTGCTGTAGCAGCAGCAGCAGCAGCAGCGGCAATGATAATAATACTGCAGCAGCAGCAGCAGCAATTAAAAAATGCGAAACAGACAACAAATAAATAAATAAAGCAGAGAAGACAATTGGAAGGTATAAAAAAGAATAAATAAAAAAAGTGAAAAAGATAAATAAAATCAGACGAGAAAGGGAAAATAAACGAAACAAAAAGATGAACAAAACAAATAAAATAAATTAAATAGATTAATAAAACAAATAAAATAGTAAAACAAATAAAACAAAATGAATAAACTAAATATATAAAAAATAAAATAAATAAACAAAAGAAACAAAAAGGCAAAAAAGAAGGATAAAAGGAGGCAGAAAGGGAGAAATATAAAATCCAGAAAATTTCAAAAAAAACAAAAAAGACAAAAAGGAAATTAAAAAATTAAAAGACCTCAAAGTAATCCAAAAGAAATAAATAAAAACAAAAAGAGATAAAAAGATACATGAAATAAAAAATAAAATAAAAAAGACAAATAGGGGATTTTTGAGATTTCACAAAAGACATCAAAATGAAAGACATAACAAAAGAATAAAAGAACAAAAGAGTAAAATAAATAAAAAGGATTAAATTAAATTAAATTAAATTAAATTAATTAAATTAATTAAATTTGTCTAATGAAATAAAAGGAAATAATCAAATCCAATTAACTCAAATTAAAACAAATCAAACAAACCAAACGGAATCGACTAAATAATCGAGTTAAATTAATTAAATTAAATTAATTAAATCAAATTAAATCGAATTCATTAAATTTGATTAATTTAATTTAATTTAATTTAATTAATTAAATTTAATTAATTAAATAAATAAAGACTTGCCAATTCCGACAAAAACTTCGAACAAAATTAGCCAAGAAGTTTCTTGACTGTCCAGCAGGTAAAGGCCCACAATCAGCTGCAGCAAAAATCAATTTTTAAATTAAATTAATTAATTTAAATTAATTCAATTAATTTAATTTAATTCTTTTCATTTGATTCAATTTAATTTAATTAATCTAATTAATTTAGTCTATTTAATTTAGTTTATTTAGGGTAATTTGATTTGATTTGATTTGATTTGATTTGCTTTAATTTGATTTAATTTACTTTTTTTTCATTAACTTAATTCAATTCTATTCAATTTAATTTAATTTAATTTAATTTAATCCGGTTTTTCTTTTAACTCCATCCTAGTTGCTCAGAGTTTTATTTTTTAAATTCTTCTTTTTTTCGAGATGTCCGCAGTCCTCCTTAATTTAGGATTTGATTTTAATTCATTTAATTTAATTTCAATTTAAATGCAATTTTATAATCCATATTTATTTTTAATTTTATTAAATATGGATTTTACTGTTAGTCACATTTGTGTTCTGCAACTCTTCCCAGCAGCAACAGCAGCAGCAGCAGCAGCAGCAGCAGTACCATTTGAAAGACCAGCACTTGCAGCAGCAGTAGCGTATGCAGCAGCAGCAGCATATGCTGCAGCAGAATATGCTGCAGCAGCATATGCTGCAGCAGCAGCAGCAGCAGCAGCAGCAAGTTACCTCGCAGACGAAGCTGAAGATAAGAGACACCGCAGAAAGTCCCTCCATGGATTCGTTTTTATACCAAAATTGCATATCTGAAAAAATGAAACAAAAAGAAATTAAAATTAAATTTAAATTGAATTAAAATTAAATAAAAATTAAAGTTAAAAAGAAATTAAACTAAAAAGAAATTAAACAGAAATTGAAAAAGCGATTAAAAGGCAATTAAGAGGAAATTTAATTTGAAAAAATAAAAAAGAAATCAAAAGAAAAGGCAATCCAAAAGACATTGAATGAAATTTATAAAAAATAAAAGAAATTAAAAAGAAATTAAAATAAACCAAAAGAAAATAAAACAGGATGAAATGAATTAAAAATGAATTACATAATGAAATCAAAACGAAGGTGAAGTTAAAAGATATTAAAAAGAATTCAAAGGAAACTGAAGAGGTAAATAAAAAAGAAATTAAAAAGCAATTCGAAAGAAAATAAAGAATAAATAATTCAACAGCACAAAACGGAAAAATTAATTGAAAAGAAAACAAAAGAATAAATGAGTTTGAGAAAGAAATAAAAGAAATCAAATGACTCAAAAGGGAAATAAAAGGAAATTAAATAAATCAAAAGAATAATCCAAAATGAAACTTAAAAGAAGGACAAAAAAGGGAAAAAATAAAAATAAAAAAGACGAAAAGGGACAAATAAAAGAAACAAACAAAAGACTCAAATGGAAGTATTTAAAGAGAATAAAAGAAACCAAAAAGAGAAATAAAGAAACAAAAAACGTCAAAAAAAACCAAAAACCAAAAAGCCAAAAAACAAAAAACCAAAAACACAAAAAAGCAATTAAAAAACAAAACTCAAAAAACAAAAGAAAATAAAAAACAAAAAAGCAACAAAGCAAAATCCAAAAGCCAAAAACCAAAAATAAAAATTAAAATCAAAAATAAAAATAAAAAAAAAACAAAAAAATAAAATTAAAAAAACTAAAATAAATTGAGTCACCGTTTTTGAAGGCGAAGAAGGAGAAGAGGGAATGGAGAAGAATAAAAAGAGAAGAAAAAATTAACATGAAAGGATTTGTCTCCAAAAGAATTCTTTTGAACATAAGTGTCTCCTTTTGTGTCTGCAGCCCGAGCTGCTGCTGCTGCTGCTGCGCCCCCGCTATTTGCTGCTGCAGCACGAACGCATGCAGACTCCCCACGCCGAACGACAGCAGCAGCTTCTCCGACGTCTCCTGCACGCACACACGCCTCCAAACCCTAAACCCTAAACCCTAAACCCTAGACCCTAAACCCTAAGCCGTAAACCCTGCGCGATGCAACTTGCACAAAATCTCACTCAAAACGGACATAAACTCATGGAAAACAGACCCAAAACCTAAACCCTAAACTCTAAACCCTAAACTTTAAACCCTAAAGCCTAAACGTTTAGCCCTCAACCCCAGACCCTAAACCCTAAACCCTAAACCCTAAACGTGAAAGCATACGCCCTCCACCCGAGACGCTGAACCCGCAACCCTAAACCCCAAACCCTAAACCCTAAACCCTAAACCCTAAACCCTAAACCCTAAATGAGGGTTTTCTCGAGAAAGGTTTACCGCCAAAGTGGAGTTGATTGGAATAAAGTTTTTTTCAATTAGCCAAAAGTCCGACAAGTAAACCATCGGCTCGTACTGGCCCTCCGCCACCCGCAGCTGCAGGCCTGCAAGCAAACCCTAAACCCTAAACCCTAAACCCTAAACCCAATCATAAGCCCTAAACCCTAAAGCCTAGAGCCCGTAAATCCTAAACCCTAAATCCTACACAGCCTAAATCCTAAACTTTAAACCTTCAACCCCGTAAACCCTGAACCCCGTAAACCCTAAACCCTAAATTCTAAACGCGGTAAACCCTAAACCCTAAACCCTGCACAACCTAAACCCTAAACCCTATGCCCTAAGCGCCCTAAACAACCTAAACCCCAAAGATTATGACCCAAAATCCCTAAACCCTAAACCCTAAACCCTAAACCCTAAAACCTAAACCCCGTAAACCCTAAACCCTAAACCCTAGACCCTAAACCCCGTAAACCCTAAACCCTAAACCCTAGACCCTAAACCCTAAACACTGCAGTGAACCCTAAACCTTAAGCCCTAAACCCCGTAAACCCGAAACCCTAAACCCTAAACCCCGTAAACCCCAAACCCCAAACCCTAAACCCTAAACCCTAAACCCTACCTTGGAGAGGACCTGTACTGAGGGAAGCAGCTGTATGTACAGCTGAATCGAAGACGACGGAAACGTCCACGCGATTTTTGAAGTGTCTGATCAGCTCCGATGAGTCTTCCTGAAAATTAAATAAATTTAAATTATTTAAATTAATTCAATTTAATTTAATTAATTTAATTAAATAATCAAATTAATTAAATTAAATTAAATTAATTAAATTAATTAAATTAATTAAGTAAATTAAATAATTAAATTAAATTAAATAAATAATAATAAATTGAATTGTTAAATTAAATTAAATAATTAAATAAATTGAATAATTAAATCAATTAAATTAAATTATTAAATTAAAAACATTAGATTGAGTTAAATTAAAGTAAATTAAATTAAGCAAACATATGAAAATAAATTAAACTAATTAAATTGATTAAATTAAATTAAACGAAATAAAATGGAATAAAACGAAAGAAGATGAAATACCAAAAATGGAAAAAAATAAATAAAGAACAAGAGAATAAAAAGGGGAAAGAATAAAAAAGGATAAAAATAATAAAACGAATGAAAAGAATAAAAGAAAGAAACAAATGTAAATTAAAAAGGAGACAAAAGGAGCATTAGAAAGTGCGTACTGAGTCTTCGCTGCTGCTGCTGCTGCTGTCTCCTTCCAGCAGCGAGTAAGTTGTCTCCTCGGGTTTTATTCTTCTCATTTTTGTC